TAATTAATATATTCTTTATAAGGATTTGTTATGTTGAATCCGTAGATGTGTAACATTTTAGTCTTTAGCAAAATGTTCAAAGAACACTGAAAATATTTAATTTTCCTGAAATTTCAGGTAGTGCTTAACTTGGACTTTTTACGAATTAACTTCCTGAGTACTCAATGAATACGTCACTGAGTACACTAGTACTATAAAGTAACTATAAAGCAGAGTAAGAACTTTCCTGGTTTAGTTCTTTTAAATATTAAAAATGTAAAGTTATGTGTATAAAGTTATAATTAAATTAATATCAAACTTAGTTCTCTTAGCTAAAAATATATTTAAATATACTTAATTGATTAGGTTACTAAAATGTAGTATATATTAGTTAAAATCCTAGTATAAATGAATACATTCTGAACACTTACTTGTTTGCAACGAAATAATATCTTCAATTTTTTTAGTTGTATCAAATGGTATAATTTGTATATACCTTGATATTTTACTTTGATTTTTGTATATGGCTATGTCTACATCACATTTACCTTTGCGGTTATATGGGTACTAAAGAAAATAACATAATACATTTTTAAATGATTAAATAATAATAAAAATTAACTAAAATAAAATAATTTATTTGGACCGCATATTTTGTCATCTGACAAGTTATAACATGCAAATACAATATTAATAACATTTATAAAACTATCTAATTTGTTAATTAAGCAACAAACCGTTAAATATTATTATAGGCTCGTATACAAGTACAGGTCTTTAATTTTATTAAATAAACCAAAAATACATAGATAACACATTTTTTGAATAATGTAAGTAACTATATATATTATAAAAATAACCAATTAAAAATGTAATATTTTGTTTTTACGATTAAAAATATTGATAATTAAATTTATATAATTTCAGGCTTAATAATATTTTATGAATTCTGTCGATGAAATGTATAGCATAGACAAATATGCTGGATAAACGTTTTACACAGACATATTGAATATTTTTTATGGGTTTTTTTTTTTGAAACTATTTTTTGTAGGGGAAATAAATTTTTTATGTGATACATCTATAGATTTGCAACTGAACATATTTTGTACTTCAAAAAGATTAACTTTAGAGTAAAAATAGAAAAAACAGCAAAAACTGCAAATAAAAATGAGAATACGCATGTTTTAACAATTTCTCGACTGTAAACTAATCTCCACTAAAAGTTATTTTTTGAATGCAATGATGTGTCATTGTTTTGAAATTCATATAAATCTGTATTAGTAACTTATTCAGTATATTAAACTTTTTGCTTTGAGTCAAACTCAACTATTGTCAATATATGTCAAGATCTAGAAGTGGTTGTTTTCTAAAATGAAAAAATAAAAATTTCGTATTCAAATTAAAATCTATAACGATTAGTATGAAAAATCTGAATTTCTATTAAAGAATATTTTGGGGTGCTAATAATCATAAATGTTATGAATTAATTATCCTTTTAAATTTTTTTAAAGTAATTACTTCTATAGCTTACTTACGGCATTAGGATATATGAGTGTACAGTTGGTTTTGCTGGCTCCTTCTAATTGTTTTTGTGATCCATCAAAATACAAATGCTGGTAATGTTTATATAATATTAAAGCACTATTGTAAGTTATTATCAAAGCCCCAAAAAGAACCTAACTCATTTATTATATAATAAATAATGGTAAAAATGGTGAAACTCTTGGATAATTTTTAAAAATAAAATGAAAATATAATTATAAGAATATTTAATTTTAACCATTATTCTCAAATATTTCAAATTAATAAATTGTGTATTTTTTACGATATTATCGAACATTTTTTGTTTTTGAATTTTTTTTTTCATTTGTGGATTTACAGTTTGACATCTTAATTATTCTTTATTTTTGTCCCTATTAACAACATTCTTTTTAATATTATTGTAATAAAATTTTAGAAAGTTATAATTTTATTAAAGAAGTATAATTTTTAAAAGTTGTTAACCTGTAGTTACTTATTTAAGTTTTAAGTTTAAAATAGTATGTATAATAAAGGGCGTGTTATTTCAGGTTTTTGATTGTTGGTACCAAAATATTTGTTTTAAAGCTATTATTACAGGCTACATAGTACACAACAATATTCGATTTTGTAAAATTTATGCATGTAGTATGTAGACCTGTGGTTCTCAATTGAGATGATATGTCACCCTGGGGTGATACAAATTATTTAAGAAAAATAAAAATAAAAGAGAATATTTAGTTTTTTAGAATAAAACTTTTAAGAAACTACCAGAGTTAAATTTATGATTTTTTTAAAATTTTTTACAATTTATTATTTTTGATTAAAATCCTTATTTTTTTTTCAATTTAAAATGACAATATTTCTTCAACACTATAACTTAAATAAAATGTGCAGTTATTATATTTTTGCGTATTGTAATTTTTAAAACTCGGTATACTTTTATCAAAATTTACAGTATAAATTGTTTAATATTTTTATGTTAGGGTGATGCAATATTGGATACTTGTGGATAAGAGTGACATAAATCCAAAAAAGATGAGAATTACTGATGTAGATGATGGGATTTAAAAAGTAAATATGTAATTAGAAATGGAATTTTCAGACAGTATTTTTTTTCTTTTTAATATTAGATAAAAAATTATAAATTATTGTATTTAACGGTCATAGGTCTTTTTGATAATTTACGCTTAAGTGTAATCACTAGATGGTTCATCTTCCATCGCCTTCAAAAAAAAAAAAGAAAAAAAGAAAATGGTCTTTTAGTTCGTGTCCTATAGTTTTAGTTTACGTAACGGCAACTATATCAACTATGTGATAAATTATACTTGTATTGTTATATGTTCTTTATAATATAATATTATACTACTAGGTTTTGTAAATTTTTTCTTTTTAGTGAATAATGGTTAATTGTCAGATCACAGCGAAAATGTATTTGATAAGTAATAAAGAAATACAAAATGCTGATTTAACATCAAATTTAAAACTTATATTTTGGTGCTTTTGTTCTATTTTTGACAGCCCAAAGAAGGAATTTTCACAAAAAAAATAGCTGCAAATATACATCTGTATTTCTTTTAAATGACGTGCTTAAGTGGAATTATATTTAGTTGATAGGCGGGAATATACGAAAACAATAAGGTAAGGAAATTGGCACATATAACTAAATGTGCCTATCAATAAATATTAATATTATTTGTTTTAACTCAATTTAAGGTAATATTATGTTTTAACTTTTACTTGACCGGTGAACTGGTACTTAAGAAATTAATTACATTGCAATCTATGTCATAACTCGTAAAAAGTTGTTCACAGCATTTTATCATCTTGATGGACACCAAAACCGGGATATCACCATCATTTATTAAGGTTACATCTATTATTATATTTATTATTAAATTTTATTTTTAGTAGAATTTATAAGTGAAATACAAAAATACTTACAAAGCATTAAAACTTCATCAAACCAGTTTACAGGATAATTTCCATAATCCTAAAAAGGTGAATTTGTAAGATAAGAAAAATATTGCCTATCAAAATGTTATTTTAAGATTCTTATAAAAATATAAAATATACTAAAATCAACTGTTAATGATTGTGTTTATTTAAAAAGCATCATTTTATTATTAATATTAGGCCTGATATACAAGTGCTTATTTATTCAATATATAGAGTACTAAAACATACTTGTAAATAAATATTTTTGGTCAAATAATTTGCACGGCATACTATAAACGCTATTAATGTAGTATAAATCTTTAAGATGTGCATATCAAAACATTAGTTATACATTTTTATTAAAAATTTATTGTGACTCAATATTACTATTGAAATATTAAATATTAACTGAAAGTTAAATGTAGGTAGTGAGAACTCAAATAAGTAACTATTGAATCATTGCTATGGCAGCGATTCAATACTATTATGAAGTACACAAATCTCATTAAATATGTTATTAATTATTTTTTTGATTTCAACTTATAATACCGCGTAAATACGCTATAATTTTGAATTAAATTGGAATTGGAATTTAAAACAAAATATAATATTTAATGTATGTTATAATATTATAAAATTATGTATTGTTCATAGTATTAGAGTATTTAGTATTTATGACTTAAGTTTTTAACCTTTTTTTTAGAAATAACAGAAATATTACACATCAATATATTCTATATTTAAGTAGATTAGTAGATACAATAATATTTTATTAAAAGACTATTAATTAGTATGTTAATGATTACTTTAAAAACTAGTTAATATATTATTAAATTCTATTGTGTATTTGATAGATTTTGTATTTGTAATACAATTATATTTGTTTTAAAAAGAAAATATTATATTATTATTTATTTAATCCAAATGCGATCAAATCAATTGTTTGAAATTATATAGATATAAATAATAGTATTTTAGAATCTATTATTATATATATTGATATCGTTTTTAAGTGAAAATGTGTATGCATCCAACATATGATCATGGACTTTTATGTATGATCTACATTCATTTGGTAAGTTTAGCATGCTAATGATACCTATTAATATTGTTCACTTTTAACAAAAAAAAAAAAAAAAAATAAATAAATAACCTGAACCATATTACGGTAATTATAATATTTTTATTTAAAGTTAAGTTAATAAAATAGTAACCTTTACAAGAAAGAAAAAATATAATATCTAAATGTATATTAAAGTCGTTATTTGAGTTAATGATGAAATTAAAACCCGATGAAATAACATTTTAACGCTGTAATATGAAATATATGATTCAAATAGTTTAAGAGTAAAAAAATGATTTACTTGTTCTAGAAATTGATTGAAGAAATAGAAATATATTTTAAGGCACCTGTGGATTTTATAGATAGCATGCGCCAACAGAACTGCGCCTTCCTCTCTACTCCAACCCCCTTTTGTTTAGTAGTGCTCTGGGTGTTGGTGCTACGAATTTTTCAGTCGTTGCATGTAGTCACGTCTCTCCGGGGGTTCGACCGTAAATCAAAATTCTCGTTCGTTAGACGAATAGTTTTTGAATACGATTTAAACGAAAAACATACAGAATACTTAATTCGATTATTATTATTATTATTATTGTTTTATTAACTTGTAATGAAACAAAAGTATCATTAGTTTTAAATTGTGTAGTGTTAATTCTTGTTAAATGTATGATACCAAAAACCTCGTATCAAAAGATATTAAAACTAAACTTTCATATTTAGGTAAGAAATTAGTTAAGATTAATAATTTTAAGTATGATAATATATATTTAAAATTGAAATAAGGTTTATTTTTAAAATTTTCTAAAATCAGTTATCAATAAATAAGTCCATGGAAATTGCATAATCTATAATTATATACTGTGAATCATACTATTAGTTCTGTAAACTTGGTTACAATTATTATTATATAATTTCAAAAAATATATTTAAATTTTGTTTTTGCATTAAATTTATTCAAAACTTTAAATTATTTTGTTTATGTCGTTTTATTTTAAATTGATTAGTATTTAGTATTTAAACATTCATTTTATTTTTAAAACATGTACCTACGTATTTTATCATTGATTTACTTGTACATTTTAAGGAAGTGCGATGTGTTAACATTTCTTATATAGCATATAAATCTAGCATTTCTTGAATAAATGCATTATCGTTAAATTATCATAAAATTAAGTTTATTTTTATTGTATTGTTTTTATATTAATAATATTTATAACTGAGAGTATTTTTTCCACAGCCAATTTTTAATTAATTTATAATTAAATTATTTAATTTCATGAAGTGATGTGTGAAATTTAATTTTTCTTTGGAGGATTTTTATCTTGATTAATTTTATAATATATTTTATCAGTTATTTTGATGCAATAAATGCCTACACAAAAATATATCTAGTAAATGTATTTACATTTATTATACTAGGTTATCATTTTGATCTATAATTTATAATATAAAATGATGTAACATTATTCTAATAGTATATTTTTGAGACAAAAATAAAAATCATATTAGATTTTTATGTTAATATAGTAATACATAACAATGAGTAAAAGAATTTTATAACTGTTGTTCAATATAATGGAGGACTAAAAAAATGTTCATTATAATTTGTTAACAATATTATATTATCAATAATATCAGTTTAAGATTAATGACTCATTTTTATTATCTTTATAAATCTTCATAATTTTTAAGCTATTATCATATTTAAATCACATTTTAACTTTATATATTTATAACAACGATAATAAAATTTAAATAACAGTATTAAATGCATAGTTTTATGTAGTTTAAAAGTATATAATATACACTTCTACATACTTAACATGGTCACTCAAAAGTTTAAAAATTGTATAAATGATTCTAGATATTTTAATTTTTTTATAAGATTTTGACACATTTTATTAAATAGGTTTGTGAAAAAAAATATTTATAATATGCAACTATTTTAATTGTTTAAATTTTTTTTTATTAATTTTTTTTCTTGAATTATATACAGCATATTAGAAATTTATGTAGTTCATTTAAATTTTCAATCAAAATAATAATGTTTATTGAATATACATGTAGTACACTAAGATAAGCTTTTTTCCTTATAAATCTTGATAAACTTTTTGAGCAGTTTACAAAATTTGTCATGTTTGCATTTATTCTGAAAGTCTTCTTATAATGTTAACGTCACCACTTTGTTAATAATTTAAATGTTAATAGCAAGTGATAATATTTATTTGGTTATAATGGCTTTTGTTGAGAAATATTTACAATATTTGATGGGTAGATCTTGTGAACATTTTTAACAGATATCACGATGATTGACTACTCCCCCCCCCACTTATGACATTTTCAGTTCCGTTAGTGACACATTATATTAACACAAACAAAGTTGCTAACAAAGCGTGGTGTTGGACATAATATACGTATGACCGACTTTATTTGGCTGTCAGCTTATACCACAACATGTTAGTTTATGAAGACTTATATTCGAAAATATTGAAAATGTTAGGGTACAAGGGCGAGACAATTTATGATAAATTTGTTTAATTTTTTGTGATGGGGTAGTGGAATATAATGAAGGGCTTATAAGCTGGGCGCCATTAAAAACAAAATAGGCTCAGTGTATTTTTTTGTGTTAATTTAGAATTTAATGTATTTAGAGATAGAATAATGGTTTTATTTGAGAGGTATACTAATTACTAATAATACATTTTTAACATACTTTGTTGGGATTGATGATATTATTTAGTTTTATTTTACGTTTAAAATTTCTTTTACTTTAGACAATGTAATTTCAACACGTACCTTAGTTTTTAATTAGATATTGCATTTTTTGGACTCTTATTATAGATATTATATTAATTATAGTCGATATTGATAAATTTACTTAATTATTAATATTTTAGAAATCAAATTATTTAAAAAGAATAATATTTTTCATGATAAACTTTGTTTAAATCATTCACGTTAGTCACAGGAAATGAATGTTTATATGTTGGATAATGTCTGAATGTTTGAAAGTTATTAATAATAACAAAATTAGAATATTATAAAATAAAGATTATAGTATCGAATATCAAAATAATTCAATAAAATTACTAAAGATAACTTCGATAACAAATACGATAATGGCATATCATGACAAATACATTACGCCTATATTGTGCATTCATAAATTTGTCATGCTGGAAAATAACGATAACATTTGGCAAATAAAGATATGATCAACATGGTTAATTTCATGTAATACTAATTAACGCTATTCATGAGAGTTTCCATTTTTTTTTTTTTTAAGGAAAATATTGTAAATAATCGGTAAATTATATTGCTCTCCAATTTAACATGATATACCTATCATCAACAAAAAAAGCAACAAAGAATATATATTTTTTAAATGAAACTAATACAAGTTCAATTTAGTCATCATTGAGAACCTCGATATTAAATTAAAGAAAAATAAAATATTTCTTATTAGATAATGGTGAAAACATTATTTTACTTGACTGAAATGATAAATTGAAAATGTATTTATTGACCTTTTATCTTTAAATATATTTTATTTAATATTTGTTGTATTATTATGCAAATATATTATAACATAATAATAGTTTATATGTTTATACATATAAATATATAATATAAATACAGATATACTGTATTCCATGTAGGAGTCTTAAGTATTTTTATCATTTATTTATTACACGTAGAACTGATTTTTATCTGACATTCCTTAGAAATAATTTATATTTTACCTTTGGCAAAGTAATCTAATTATAATTGTAGTTTCTCTATAAATATTAGGTGTATTTCAAATGCGCAATCGAAGACTGAACACATTTCAGATCAGATATCAAGTGAAAAATCACATACTGTGAATACTACTCTTAAAATCTTATACTAATAGTCTTTTTTCTATGAGATCGAAACAAACAAAAAAAAAAAATGTTATTTATACTCGTTTATCAGAGAAGATGAACCTTCATGACAGCACTCAATGCAATCGATTTTGCTCAAACTGCTTTTTTATTTATTTTTTACTTAAAAAATATTATTTCCGTAATCGATTCTCAATTAATCATTTGTAGCAAAAAGAGATAGTTTCTATATTATAGAACTAAAATTATACAAAAGTCTGAATATAAAACAAAGAAACAATAAAATAATTATGGATCGAGTAATTTAATATTACGTATATTACAATTTGGATTATTTTAAATGTTTCAAAATTATTTTTAATGATAAGTCTTTCTTTTAATGATGTTTGTTAAACGTATATTGTATTTATTTTTATTAAAATATAATATAACTATAATAATTTAAAATCTATGTTTATATAGTACAGGTATATAAATATATTAAGTAATACGATTTTGATGTCAAAATAAATTTAGCTATAAACTAATAACATAATGTATTTGAATGAATAATGAACTTAATGATGAAGTAAGACAACATTGAATATAATTAGTAACATCTAATAAATGTTTGAATTTCAACGACGAAATATTATCTATATGTTTTAATGATATCGTTAACTAAATTGAAAACATTTGGATATAATATATTTGAATATATTCGAGAGATTGCTTAGACCATTTAATTTCCTTTTTTTGCTATTTTCCCATTAAATTTGCGTTATGTGTTCGATATACTACAAAACACTATCTACCATTAGTTTCCTATAAGTATGGTCTGGTTATCTAACAGAGTTTCTTTGTTTCTTAAATCTGCTAGACTTCTAGTGTAAGTATTAATTAATTCTTAATATTATAATGTTTAGTCTGATATCAGAAATAGTTGTAATAGCTTTGATAAATGTCATGATATAATGTTAATAAATTTATGCAATTGCCTTTTTAAATTTTTTTTTTACTAAAATTGGATACTTTTTCACTAAAAACTTACTAAAATAAATTAATAAGTTTTAAATCACTAAAAAAAAAAAATTAAAAAATGTACATTATAGCTTTTTATGGTATTATAATAAACATAGGAATGGACATTGGAAAATAGTGAATTATTTAGATTTGAATAAGACAAAATAGATTATTATCTTGAGTGAAAAAACGTGTAATAATCTTTTTAATATTATGATATAATGTTTTTATTTATAAAATATTTAATTAAAGATTATTTTGATTGAATTTTTTGAAATAAATAGATAATATATTCAAAACTGTTTGAATATGCATACGTATTAAATAAGCAATTAAATATGAACAATTTTATATACTTTTATATATGCTCATAAATTATAGACAATTAAACTATAGTAAATATTTGTAGATAGAGTATTAATAGAGATTGTTGATTAAACATAATAATTCTTTAAATCCAAATATAATAAATATATGTGATTCAATGATGATACGATCTTTGAATATAGTTTTTAAATTTCAATGAATGTGAGAAATATTTATTTAAGTAATTATAGATATTTCATTTACATTTATAATTATTTATTAACTTATCTTTCAAATACAAAAATCATATAATGTGAAACTTGTTATACTGTTATTTGAGTTATGTTTGTATAATACTATAACGTATACAAGTTTTTTTAGTTATTTAGTATACTTTAAAATTGACCTTGGTTGATGAAAGTTTTAATGCATTCTCAATATCATATAAGTTATTATTACATAGTCATCAGATTGTCATCAGTGTCATAAAATTTTAGTTAAAAATGTATGAAAATCCATACTTCAAGTGAGTATTAGGGGTTTCTA